CGCATGCTTTTAGCTTTTCAAATATGCAAAACTTTTCCATGTTTTGTCTAACTTTTCCAATAGGAAAAGTAGAGTCACTTGAGCAGCTTATGTACACTGTAGGGTCATCCACTGTCGGCGTCATCAATATACTGTAGAGTATGCCTTCTAAAGCTCCCCATTGTTTTCAAAGTGTATGAAAGGCTCATCTGCACCAAGTATTTTCAAACACGACTTGGTCAAAGTCTTTGGATTTTGGCCAAGGCGAGTTATTTGGGTAAGTCCAAATAACTTGCCTGAGTCTAGCCCTTAGTTAAAAATAAAATAATAAATAATAATAAAATACTATATATATTATAGAAATATATAGAATATGACTATTTATTTTTGTTACAAGGAGGTCACAATCATCATTTACTGTTAAATTTGAAATCAGGCGATTTAGGATGTATCATTATTTAGCACAAAGTCCGAAATAAAAATTTTCGAATATTGTGATACAATTTTATCTATTAGATTTTACATCCAAAAGCTAAAAGTAATTGTGATCTTTTTATACCAAAAATATATGGTCTCATAGTATACAATCCCACATAATATAGCCTTCACATCTTAACATTAAATGTCAAAATGCATCTTGGTTATGTATTCCGATGTTGCGGCCTTCCTTTACGAGAGGTCTTCAAATCTATCATTATTGTTGGTTTTTTTTTTTTTTTGGACCTCCCATCCTCAAAAAGAAAAATTGGAACTCCCGCCCTTCAAAAAAAAAAGAAAAAAAAGATGGTGTTGTGGGTTTAAAAAAATTGATTTTTCTCTACCACTATTATGCTCAGACATGTGCATGGATACTACCCAATGATCCATTCAATTATATGCAACATAAGCTTCACATATTAATATAAATAAACTTTATAAACATGGTGTACAACCTAGTAACCCAAAACTTGCCTTGCCCTTAGGGCGGGGCTGAGTCTCGGAACATTGTCTCCCCCCATTTGAAAAAGATCAATGGTTGATGGCCACTTTCCACCCCACACACAAGAAAAGAGACGCCAAGCCAATTCCGTTCAAAATTTAAAGTTGTTTCCAAGGTCAGTTGGTAGGAATTTCAATTCTCGGGATCCTTGGAATAGCTTGATCCCCACTTAGTTTTATTTTTATGATCTTTTTTAACATTATTTATTAATTGTTGATTCACTTTGCCAAATGGGATCCATTTCAAAATCATCGATCGGATAAATTCATCTAGTGACCAATTTTGTGGGTTTAATCCATTTAAAAACATGGAAACTGATTACGTTAAATCCATTTCAAAAGATTACTCCATGACTTGGAAACTGATTTTTTTTTAGCCATTTACATCAATTATAGATTTAAAACTCCAAAAATAGTGCAAGGAAAACATCAAATACTTGAAAATCTTGACGGTGAGCAATCTCATAATATGCAACAAGATACACAAAATTTTAGACTTGATTTTTTTTATTTGTGTTTTCCATTCCATACATATGGAAACTGAGATGATTAATCGGACGTGTTTTAGAATCCATCCAACAGTTTTTGGTATATTTCCTAGTTGCACCTTGATTTATTGCATAGAGTTGATGTCTTATATAAACGTTTGGGATTGTATATTATGATGTTGTGCGCGAAAGCTCTAAACTTGATGGGTTGATTTTGACAAATGAAGCATGAGAAATAAAAGCATGAAACACATATACAAGAATACAAATATTTACGTGGTTCACCCCAGAAGCGCTACATCCATGGGTATAACAAACTGAAATCCACTGTACCAATAAAAGTTATATTAAAGATTTTGAAACATAAAGTTACCTCTCTAACCCTCGACAAAAAAACTTAAGTCAAGCAAACCCTTTTAAACCACTTTCCCTTCATTTTCTTTACTTATAAGAGTCATTATTGACAACACCAGATAGAGACGCCGACAAACCCTTTTAAACCTCTCTCCCTTCCTTCTCTTTACTTCTGATGACCATTACTAGCAACACCAAATAGATACGCCAATAACACGAGATAGAGACGGGAGAGTAACGAAAAATTGACTTTCTCTCTAACTAAAAAAGGGAAAATAACTGAAGATAGAGGCGCGAGAGCAACGAAAAACTGACTTTCTCTCTAACTAAAAAAAAAAAAAACAGCCTAAAATATCTATGGGAACTAGAAAAACAACCCAAAATATCTTTGGTCCCCAAAATATCTATGAAAACTAGAAAACAACAAAAAATATCTATGGAACCAGAAAACAACAAAAAATATCTATAGGAATCGTTTTTCTATAAGAAATACGCATCTCAATCTCTAGGAACAAGCCTCTCAATTTCCAGGAACAAGCCTCTCAATTTCAAACCTCTCAATCTCCGGGAACAAGCCTTTCAATTTCCAAGAGTCTACAAGAGGCACCATCACTCCATCGGACGCTCTCTTCTCTCTAAGAGAAATTAGAACAAGCTTCTCAATTTTTAAGAGTCTACAAGAGGCACCATTGTTCTATAGGATGCTCTCTTCTCTCTAAGAAGAAATCTTGCATCTTATGCACAAAAGGCTCTACCTCCTTCTCTCTTTAGAAGAACCACTATTCCCATATTGTAACATAAATAGAGCACATCAAATTCTCTGCACTTTCATCTCAAATATATAAGATTAGAAGTCCATACTAATAGAAAACTTCCTATAGATGTTATATATGTCTCAAAAATCAATAGATATATCCAATAATCCTAATTTTTTTGGATTTCTATTTTCTTTAACAAACTTATCAATATCAATCTCACGTAATAAACAAATATCTCAATCCTACATAATATAAGATTTCTTTATGTACATGATTTTGGATAGCACCAAATCCAACATATGAGACCATTTACCTTTATCACAAGAAGGTCACAATTGCTACCAGCCATAGAAGTGAAAATGGATGGCTTTGGGCATATCACAAAGTTCGAAAAAATTGTTTTGAACTTTGACTCTAGTCAATGACATACCCACAACAATCCAATTTAAAATTTGACATACAAGAGTAGTTGTGATCTCCTTATGTTAAAAGCAAGGTACATAAAATTAAAGATGCACCTCAAAAATCCATCGAAAAAGGTTATTTTAATGTTGAAAAGCCCTTTAATTGATTATCTCAACAAATAGATGCATGAATATGAAAAGAAAAAAAAAAAATTTGATTACTAGAAATAATGCATCTTGCAACACATTATCTGGAACGTCCATTTTCAAAATTTTCTAATGTTTATAAATTTACGTGAGTTTAACCATTTTTTGAGTTTAAAATTTTATAATTATAAATAAAGAGATTTTCTAATAATCCTAAGAATATTTTATCAAAATAACATGTTATGCTAAATTTCAACAAAAGATAGAGAAAGTATAAAATGAGACCATTTACTTTCGGTACAAGGTAGTCATAATTAATCTTGATCATTGGATGTGAAATTAGGTGGTTTCATTTATTTCATTGACCAAGCTCAAAGTTAAAAAAAAAAAATTTGAAACTTTATGACACACCCACGCTATCATAGTTTACTAAAAGAGAATATAGGAGTATGGTTTGATAGGGCTGCAACCCTATTAAATTAAGTAAACCCTCACCTCATAACTCATCCGAGATTACAATTCAAGTTTTAGAGAACTTTTACATTGATCATCTCGACTTGAACATATGAAAAAAAAAAAAAAAAAAAAATTTAAGCTCTAAAAATAATATTTATTGTAACAAATTATTAGATCATCTATTTCACCCTAAAAATAAGTATTCACATATCGACAAAATCTGTACCATTTTTTTAATTTCAAATTTTTATTGTTGATGTGAAATCTGATTTAGAGTGATGATATAGATTTTTATTTTTTTGCCGAAAGTGTTTTACCAGTGAAGATTTAAAGCGAGCCTTTATTTTATTTTCAGGCCTTATATGGAAACTTCGTGCAAAGATATAATATGGTCTATAATTATCTTATCGTCGTCCTGACAGTGACTATAAAGTTCTCAGTATCCCATCAAATGGTAGGACAGCTGGAGGGAAGTGGGTAACCAGTCAGCCTCGCTCTATCCCCATTGCCTCCCAATCATTGATTAAGTGGGTGTTAATGTGAACATACGAATCATATTATATTTTCTCAATCGAAAAATTTATGGTGCATTTTATTGATCACTACTGCACCAAGTGAGTCCTCTTTCATAAACGGAAAAATAATTTTAAGTTTCTGGCTGATATCAATTACTAGCTCATATTCGTCATATCTTTATCGGATATCATTATATAAATTTTAATGTTTTTTTTGAAAATCAGATCGTAATAAAATTTTAGACTTGTGTACTAAAAAATAAAATATACAATAAATTTTTTTTTTTTTTAAATGATAAAATGATCAAAATACCTCTTAACATTATAAGAGTAGTTTAGTCATTTTAAATTATTGAAAGTAATTATTTTATATTTTTATATGATATGTATTTTAAGTATAAATACTCAAATTTTTATTTTAATTTAATTTATAAAAAAATATTAAAATTAAAATAATGATATGAATTTTGAACCACTCAATGAAAATCTAATAACTAACAGCTAATAGCTTGATTAAGAGCTAATAGCTTGCACTGTTCATTATAGCTAATAGCTTAAGAAACTTTTTTCTTTTATAAATATATTTAAGATGGGGGTTTTATGTATGTGGCCCCTCACAAAAATTCATTTTAGATGATTTTTTTTTAATTTTTTTTTTAGATTCGCCAAGATTATTATAAATATGAAAAGAAAAACACGCTATTCAAATTCAAAATATGATTTTTTAACACACCATTACGGAAAAATACACTTTCGATAACATCCATATTTAGGATAGATGTTTGTAAGTGCGGGCTGAATGATGAAATAATTTTCCATATATTTAATATGTGGATATTAGAAGTGAAACCTTTAAATGCAATTCTATCGTAAATCCATGATTTTGCTACTAGATCCTACGATTTATAAAGAATTTAAAAATGCATAGATTAAAAAATAATAATAATAATTGATTGGTAATATTACAAGCCCCCGATTTAGATCGGTCAGTCCTCCAAACTAAGATTGCTACATCTTTAGAGAACCAACCAATATTTGAGAACCACATTGCAAACGTTCAGAGACAATATAGAAAGGGTAAGAGAGAGAGAGAAGAGACGCAAGGAGAGAGAAAGAATAGGTGGACACGGAGAAGAGAGAGAAAGACAGCCCTTAGATCACGAGCGGCGGCGTCTATTATCTTTCTTCTCGTCTCAATCGCACTGAAAATGTACAGAGCCAGCGGTTTTCTCTCTCTAAAAGGGCAGCATGGTGTCATCTCTCCTCTCACTCCTGCACATGTACTGCGACTGTGTTCGGCGCAGGGCACTTACATGGACACGGCCACGCAATATACTTGGGTATCCTATCTCCGGGCATCAACACCGGTAGGCTCATGCTCGAATTCACCTTCGAACCCTAAAAATCGATAAAATCAAGTGATCAGAAACATAAAATCATAATAATAACAATAAAGAAAGATCAAAATCAATGGCCATGCGGGCTTCGTACCTTTGCAGGGGAGGGAGGAGATCGGAGGGGAGGAGAGAGCGAGGCGGAGGGGGGAGCAGAGGCGGAGGAGGGTCGACGGAGATTTCGGATTTTGTCCCAATGGTAACAACAAGAGAAGAAGGCGCTTATCGAGAAGATCAAGATGAGTAAGAGAGCGGTGCCTAAAGGGAAGCCAAGGGTCGGCCTGGATGCGTCGAGGCGTCGATGGCTGATCTGCTGCTCGTCCATCGCCGCCCTTTCTCATACTAATCCCACGGCCCAGTCGTGTAGTTTCTAGAGAGACAATCTCTAGAAACAGGGAACGACAATGGCCCCTAGTTGCAGGGCGGAGCGGGCGAATATTGATATTCAAACTTACAAGGCCAGGAAGCCCTAAAAAAAAGGACGAAACTATAGAGCGAGAGAGAGAAAGGGAATTAGAGAGAGAAACAGAGGATGGTGTGAAAGTTGCAGAGGGCGATGCGGTGGAGCAGGGGAAGTGGGTAGCGGTGGTATTTAAGGTTGAGGTTGTGGCTGTGGTTGGGTAGAGAGAGAAAATGAAAGAGGGGTTTCTAGAGAGAGAGAGAGAATAAGCCTTGGCCCTGTCGGGGGTACGGAAGGTGGGGGCCATGGCGAGTCAGAGAGAGAGTGGTGATCAGCTGGCACGAGTTGCAGTGCCGTCTCCCCATTTTTTTTTTCACTTTTCTCTTTGTGGGTATGCGACAAACCAGTTTATATCAGTGGATAGTATTTTATGGCAGAATTACCGTACTTTCCGTTTGTATTGTAAGTGCATTGTCAACCGTCCGTCTTAAGCCACGGATGGATGGATGGACTGTTTTTCACTCAAGATGTTGACTGTCAACTGTTTTGCGATGAATAGTGCATATTGTGCACGATGCTACCTTGCCGGTATCATTTTGTTTTGCCTTTTTTCTCTTGCAAGTTGACGGTGGGAATGGGGGATGCGAATGCGTGATGCAATACTGGAAAAACAAAGGGCGGCGAAATCGGCCGGTTTTTTTGCACTCAGTCACTACGGGAGCCCGTTTGGTATCAGTTCGGGGTCCACCCCTCCATCGACCCATACCAAAATCGGTTTATTTAGTAGTTATCGGGAGCGCTCTCGTTTTGGGATTTTGTTACCGCGTTTTGGATTTAGAATCTTGTTCGAAATCCGTTCCCATCTTTTTTGGATCTCTCTTTAAATTTTAGGATTCTCTATCTTATTCATAACGAAGCAGCTCGCTCTCGATACTTCAAGGATCTCACTCCTTCTGCTTCAAAGATCTCGTTTCCATTCACAATAGATCTCGCTCCCATTCACAACAGATCTCGCTCCCGCTAAAGTACGGTCGATCCCATACACAACAGATTTCACTCTCTACTTTCGGATCTCGCTCACATTGTTTCACAGAATGCGTTCTGTAACATTGCAGATGTGGTTCCTGAACAAATTAGAACTCCGCTCCTAAAATTTTCCATTTTTATGGTTGCAACCTTATGTACACCTTTTCCTATATCTTTCAGTTTAGAAAATACTATATAATTCTCATATGAGTTCCCAAATTTGGATATATATATATATATATATATAGAACCGAGGCTCTAAACAATCAAATTGGAGCCTACCACAAAAATTTCACTAGAAGAGGTTTTTTTTATGCTCAAATATCTTCAAATTGATCATCTTGACATCAAGATGTATGGACATGAGAAAAAAGATAATAGATTTCAAGTTTTGAAAGTATTTAATAACACATTTTTGGACCTTCAATTTTCAAGATTTTTAGGTTTTCATAGATCTGTCAATCTACACCATTTTTGAAGCTTTAAACTTTATAAACAAAGATGAAAATATATTTTGAAGCAATCACAAAGATTTTCAATATTGAAACCACATGTCTCGACACTATTTGAAGTTAAGCTCTAATTTGATTGTTTAGAGCCTAGGCTCTATACAAACTGCACCCTATATATAATTACCTTTATTTCTATGACAATAAGGTTTTTGAAATTTTGAATAAATTTATTTTATCATTTTATAACTTTCTAAAAGAAACTTCTTAAATAAAAATAACATTTAAATATAAAAATTAATATTTTAGTAAAATTTTCATATAGTTATTTCTACCAAACAATAATGGTGTTTCATTTCTTGAATGGGTGCAGTTGGCATACAGATGCATCTGTAGCTGTAGAGGTAAGGTGCACCTTCAAATTTTATCATGGTATATAATTTTAGGATTATCTCAAAATCTATTTTTATATCTAATTATAAACTTTTAAATATAAAAAATGGTTAAAATCAAGTAGATCTATAAACATATGAAAATCTTGAAAATGGACGGTGTAGATAATATGTTGTAAAATGCACTATTTCTAAGACTTAAAATCTTTTTATTTTTCATGGTCATACATCTCGATGTCAAGATGATCAATAAAATGGTTTTTCAACATTAAAACAACCTTTACCAATGAATTTTTGAGGTGCATCCGTAGTTCTACATTATAAGGTTACATCCTTATATAATCGTTTTCTCTAATAGTTTGTGATAAATAAATAGGGTGGTTTGCATCGGAACCGGCCGGGTGGTAATATATAAGGCAGCTTGTTCTGTTTCTATATCTTTTACAATAAAATTGAATGGACCACATATATCATATTTACTTTTTCGGGTGGTTTGCATCGGGACCGGCGGGGTAGTAATATATAAGGCAACTTGTTCTGTCTCTATATCTTTTACAATAAAATTGAATGGACCACATATATCATATTTACTTTTGGGGAAAATGTTTATACAAGGATGTAACCTTATAATGTAGAACTACGGATACACCACAAAAATCGATCAGAAAAGGTAGTTTTAATGTTGAAAAACCCTTTGATTGATCATCTCGACATCGAGATGTATGACCATGAAAAATAAAAAGATTTTAAGTCTCAAAAATAGTTTATTTTACAGCATATTATCTACACCGTCCATTTTTAAGATTTTCATATGTTTATAGATCTACTTAATTATAACCATTTTTTAAATTTTAGATTTTATAATTAGATATAAAAATAGATTTTGAGATAATCCTAAGAACATTTTACATCAAAAGTATATAATATGATAAAATTTGAAGGTGCACCTTACCTCTACAGCTATGGATGCATCCGTATGCCAACTGCATCCTTACTTTTGATGTTTTTTTGTAATAGTTTCTTTTACTTACCGTTTATTTATTTTTGCACACACACTTCTTATTTGCCTAAATTCACTTCACATATTTCTTAAATTACTGTATCCTACGATCACACATTGGGTCACACATTATGACTCACGTACATGTCACACCTTATCTATCGTTTTTTTCTCAAATATTAAGACTCTCAAACCCATTAGGATTCACCAGTGGGTCACTAATACTCCCTTTCTCTTTCTTCAATCACTCCCGTATTCTCCTTTTGTCTCACTATAATTTTAAATTAAAAAGTATGTTTATTTAATCTATTTACTTATTATTGGGCTTCTATTAAATTTCAATGGGCCAAGTTCGTTGACACCCGTTACGTAAGAAAGCAGGGGTTCCTATATTTTATCAAATGCAAGAGTAAGAACAATTCATCTTCAAACAATCCATAAGCAGTTTCTTAACAATTTCATTATCACATTTCACAGTCAAAAAGAGGCTAGCAATATGTTAGACAATAGCAATGGTTTAAAAACCGGATCGGTGACCCGGATCGGGCTTTTCAAAAACCGATCCGGATTGGCGAATCGGCGAATCGGCGATTCGGATCGGCGAATCGGCGATCCTGATCGGAATCGGGTGAATCGGTCAGAATAAAGCTTCAAAAAAATCCGAAAAAA